TCTACACACTCTGCCTCAAGGTTCAACCAAAAGGCTGAGAACCCAGAGGGTCCGGCCAGCTGCCATGGGTGCCTCCTAGGGACTTTCGCCACAATGAAGTGAGGGCTGCTTCCTGCACCATGGCCTCTTTGCCTTCCCACTATTTTCTGAACCCTCTGTTCAGAGCCCACCTGGGATGGACCCTGGCAATAGGCTCCCACGGCTTTCTTCTTCTCCCATCCCCACTCCTCATCTGCTCAGCAAAAACCTACTGCTAGAGAACACTTTTTGGGGCAATGGGGATCACCTCCTGTTCATGGTCCCTGTTTTACCCAGAGTTATTTCAGTTATGAGTAACAGAAACCTGACAGCTTGTGGGGCCACTGTTTATTGGTTCATATAATTAGGAAGTCCAGGTACACAAGGATCTGAAGGGTCAAGATCCAGGTGCTAAGACGCCACCAGAAATCTCTATCTTGGAACATCTCAGCTCTGTCCTCAGCACTGGCTTCAGCCTCAGGCAGGATGGCTCCTTGAAGTGGCACATACCTTCCAGTAGCTCCCAGCCTACTTGTGTCCCACCAGCTTTGCTACACTAGTGTGACTGCCATTGTCATCCATGCCAGTGATCTTGTCAAAATCCTTTCCCAGTGGTCCCACCTAAATCCCCAGGGTTCTCATGCACTAGAACTCCCACCCTGCACTAGTCACTGTGGCCAAAGTAGGGTGCTGTCCCTGGCCAGGCTGGTGCACCTGCCCACCTCTCAACCTCAGGGTGTGGTGACAGTTGTGCACACATCCCAGGGTGGGGTAAGGGAGAGACAGCTCTCCCAAGGGAAGCAGGAGGGAATGAATAGGAGGCAGCTCCTTGAATGTCCATGCCAGCTGCCCCACACCAAGATGCCTCAAGCTGCAGATATTTCCACTATCCTTGGAGCCACCTCAACCTACCTTGTCCCTTACATAAAGGCAGATGGTCCTAATCATCAGAGAAAACTTTGGGCACCTCAATGCCCCACCCAAGCCAACTCCTCTTCAGATTGGGGTTTGCCTCAGGCCTACCACCTCAATTCACCAATTCTATTCTCCCTTCAGTCTCTCTCTCTCTGGAAACTTGTTTCTGCTATCTTAAAAACAAAAACTAAGCCAGGTTTGGGAGGACGAGGCAGGAGGATCATGCGTTCAAAGCCAGCATCAGCAAAAGCAAGGCGCTAAGCAACTCAGTGAGACCTTGTCTCTAAATAAAACAAAAAGTAGGGCTTGGGATGTGGCTCAGTGGTCAAGTGCCTCCAAGTTCAATCCCTAATACCAAAAAAACAAAAACAATAACTGAGCTGGACACGGTGGCATGCCTGTAATCCCAGCAGCTTGGGAGGCCAAGGCAGGAGGATCACAAGTTCAAAGCCAGCCTCAGCAACTTAGTGAGGTTCTATCTCAAAATTTAAAAAAATAAAAAGGACTGGGAATGTAGTTCAGTGGCTAAGCACCCCTGGCTCAATCCCTGATATCAAACAAACAAAACAAAAAAACACTACCAGGTGCTGTGGAACATGCCTATAATCTCAGTGACTTGGGAGACTGAGGCAGAAGGATTACTGCCAGTCTCAGCAATTTAGTGAGACTCTCAGCAACTTAATAAGACCCTGTCTCAAAATAAAAAACAAAGGACTGGAGGATATGGCTTAGACGTTAAGCACTAAGTAGTACTGGGGGTCAAAAACCCTTGGTTTTGACCCCCAGTACCACCAGAATAAGAACAAAATACCAGATCTTGTTCTTTCAGTGGTCTCACAACCCAAACACAGAACCCCCTCATCCAGAGCTTCTCACCTCAGCTCCCACTCTTTCATCAACCACCATGGTACTGAAGCAGCTGGTAAAGGCTCCCCTGAGGCTAAAAGACACCTGGCAGGTACCACTTCCTGTTCTGCAGCATTGGATAGCTGACCTCCTCCTTCCAGATGCAGCTAGGTGGCCCAGGGCCTGATGGTTCTTGTCTGCTTTGGTGGCTTACTCAGGCCCTCCCCTCACCTGTCCTCCAGGTCCATTCCCTGCCAAAGCTGCTACAGAAAGAAATAATAATTCCTTAATAATTCCTTCCCTCTAAGCCCCCATGTCAAGTCAAGGCCAAAACAAGCCTCGGGTCTGCTAGGCTCTCTGTGCTTCTGCCTTACCCTGCCCCGCAGTTTTCAAGGACCAATCTCTTTGTCTTGCCTGTCCTTTCACAGCAATCCAGAGAAGAACGGGTCACATAGCACGAAACAGGCTGTCCCCCAGTACATCTAGCACCTGCTGACATGGTGGGCACTAGACCACCCTCCGCCCCCCTCCTTCCATCAGCATCCCTGGTGCTATCCTGGCAAATTGTGGCCTCCAGCTTCCCTGGTCAACTCCTGTTTTACTTAGCTGCTGCCTGACCTACCAAACCAAGGTCCCTGAGCATGGGAAGGCAGTGGAGTGGATGGGAAAACAGTCACAAAGCCTTGAACACAGGCTGAGAAGACACTGATGTTCCCTTTTATTTATTTTTTAATAAATTTAAGAACAGTTTATCTCTTCCCCCCAGAGCAACTAAAACCAACTAAAAGGGGGTGCGGCCTGGGGGGGCAGAGGGTGCTAGGAGTCATAGTCTTCTTCATCCTCTGCGTCAGGTGCTGAGGGGCCTGGGGGGGCCGGAGGCAAAGGCAGAGTAGAGGTAAAGGGCATGAAGGGGGTCGGAGGGCTGCAGGGCAGAAAGCAGGAGGGAAAATCAGGCTTTGCTCCCATGCCCATCCTGGCCCACTGAGCCCCCCACATCCTCCACAGAGGTAGCTGTGGAGCTGGCCACCCTCTGGGACCATGGAGAGCCAAGCCCCAAGGAGGGGAGGACCCAGAGCAGATCACCGGGCCCTGCCCAGGCTCCACCTGCTGCTTCTGACCAGGGTAGGGACAAGACCTTCTCAGAGAATGTCTTTTGCCTTTAAGCACCCCTATTTGCTCCCCTCCCATCCCCCAAGCCTGCTACAACTAACAAAACCAAGTGGCTGAGGAAGATCACAGGGAAAACCAAGTGATCTTGAGGAGTCTGGTAGCTCCCTCCTGATGCCCTGGGCTGCTTACCTCTGAAAGTGTGCAGAGGGGCGGCTGGTCTGGGGTGGGGGATGCGGTGTCTCTTCTTCCCCATCAGTATCTGTGTCCTCAGACTCATCCTGTGAGCAAAGCAGGGGTCAGAGTTGACAGGAAAAGCCATGAGCCCATCATCAGGGAACCCAGATCCCTGGGAGTGGCAGGGACAGGAATAGACCCCCAGAGCTAACCTATACAGACACTGAGTTGCAAGAAGTCACAGATAAGGTTGAGAACAGACCTTAAGCCAGCACAACCTGGCACAGGCTGCCCTTTTCATCACCACAGGGCAAAACAGATGGCCGGGGCCTCACTCACCTCCTGCTCCGAGTCTGTTCCAGACAGTTTCTTGTCCTTGCCTTTGCCTCCCATCCCACCATTCTTCCGGCCACTACTGCCTGGCTTCCGGCCCCTGCAGGAAGGTACAGTCCATCTGCCCAGAGGTCTTTCCCCTCCTTGGTTGCCCCCCAGCCTCCCCCAGTCCCTGTAGCTTTGATCGTCCCCACCTGTACACATGACCCTGGCCCCCACCTGCGAGGACCCTTGTCCCCATCCATATGGTTGTCTTCTCCATCACCCTGCATATCAGGCACCGACGCCACCAAGTCCTTCAAAAAGTCAAATTGTTGCTCCAGTTCAATGCACTGCTTCCTGGAAGAGGTAGGAAGGTGAAGGCATTTCAGTGGGGCCCAAACATTAAGACCTTCAGCCAGGGACATCAAGGAGCCCTGGATGTCAGGAGTGGAGCCTAGAAAACCCCTCCCCAACTCCACCACAGCCTCCCTACTTTGCTCAGGTTGTTCCCTCTTCGTGGAACATCCAAGCTTTCCTCCGCCAGTTTCTTAGTCTTGCTGGTCTCCCAGCAGCATCCCATCTCCCTGTCAGGGCACAGCCTTCCCACCAGCCCCTCTCAGCTCCGCAGCCACTCACAGGTGGGACGTTGTCATGGTCTTGGCGTTCCGGGACTGGGTCACCTGGCAGGCCTTCTTCAACAGCGACTCCAGGAAGAGCTCGAGCGCCCGGGCTGAGTGGTGTCAAGGAGAACGCGGGAAGTGGGGTGCCCGGTCCCTCCCCCAGGCTCCTCAACCCGGCCAGCCCCCGCCAGGATACAGATGATGACAGGCACAGCCGCCGCCACCTTCCCAATCTCTTCGTCCGTCTGCATGATCTTCTTGATTCGTGCCTACAGAAGGGGGCAGAGTTCGGACCCGGTCGCAGTGGTCCCTGAAAGGGTGCTGGGGGGAGCGAGAGGGGTATCCCGGGAGAAAGGGGCGGGGGGCACGGACGCCGGCAGGGCCCGGAAGGGGGCGGGGCGTCCAGGCCCCGAACACCCAGATGAGCCCGCCCCCCCACCCCCGGCCCGGCTCAGGGCCGGAGCCTCCCCGGAGCCCGGGCCTGCTCCCGCCGGGCCAAGCCACGTGCTCACCGGCGGGAACCGCGCGTTGTACTTCTTCTTCTTGCTCGGCATCTCGTGGCCTCTCTCGCCGTGCAGGGCCCAGCGCCGCCGCCCGCAGCCTCCGGGCCCCCGGGCCTCCGGGCCTGCTCGCCGCCCGCCCGACGCAGTTCCCCCGGGTCCTGGTGCCGCCCGCTCCGCCCCCGCCGCTCTCTACAGGGTCCTAGCGCCTCCTGTCGAGACGCCGCTCACAGGGCCCAAGTGCCCGTCTCTTGGAGCCTACCGGGCAGTGTGCGTCGGTGCCGGGCCGCTCGGCTCCGCCACTACCGCCCGCCCCCAAGCCAGAAGAGCGAACGTTAGCCCCGCCCCCGTAGGCCCACGCCCCCTGAGTTCCAGCAATGGCCCCGCCCCGTGGTCGGCCCCGCCCCTCCCCTCCGGCCCCGCCCCGCAGCCGGCCAGTCCTGCCCGGTGGCCCCGCCCGTGGTTGCGCTTGTCTATAAAGTTGTTGTTGAGGCGGCGGGGCGCTAAGATGGCGGCGGCGGCGGCTGCCGTGGCGGGGGCGGGGCGCGGCGGCGACGGCGGCGCGGAGCCCCGGCAGGAGCGGAGTCGGGCCCGAGGCTGGGCCGGCGCCGAACGCAGCGAAGGACGGAGGTGACTGCGGGGCGGCGGGAGCAGCAGGGCTGGAGCGGGGGCACTTCTCGGGCCGAAGGTGCTAATGGCGGCGGGCGCCGCAGGGCCAGAGCCTGGCTCTCCAGCAGGTTCTAACCAGCCCGGGTTCGAGTCCGGGCACCGCCCATTGGTCTCGGACTGGTCACTCTGGCCTCTCAGGGCCTCTGTGTGCCAGTCTTTCAATGGTCCCGAGAACGTCCGCCCGGGAGGCCTCGCCCTCCTGGGCCTGCCTGGGGGGGCTGCATGAATCTGTGCTTCTTTGGTTCTGTCTATTAGATCGCAGCCTCTTGGATACCAGCCGGTCTCTACAGGAGGTGTTGCTGGGGCTGCTTGCTCCCACACCTGAATTCACATTCCTCCTCTGCCACTCACTACAGGTGTGACCTTGGGCAAGTCCCTTTTCGCTGAGCTTACCTGGTCTGTAAGCGGTGAGAGTAGTAATAACAATAGCTTATGTGGGGCCCACTCCACCTCAGGCATTTCATTCTCACAACAAATCTACTGGACAGGATCGGTTGTTATTTCATTGTAAAGATAGGGACAGCGACATTTAGTCTTGCCCAAGGCCACACAGTTTAGTGTAGTACTTTGTACCTGCTGGGACCCAGTAAGCCTTAGTTGTCTCAGACCTGCCCTGATTCCATTCCCTCATAGCAGGATGGAGCCAGGTGAGGAACTGGAGGAGGAGGACTCTCCGGGTGGCCGCGAGGATGGTTTCACTGCTGAGCACCTGGCTGCAGAGGCCATGGCAGCTGACATGGACCCCTGGCTGGTGTTCGATGCCCGCACTACACCTGCTGCTGAGCTGGATGCCTGGTTGGCCAAGTACCCACCATCCCAAGTCACACGCTATGGGGACCCCGGTTCACCCAACTCTGAACCTGTGGGCTGGATTGCAGCCTATGGGCAGGGCTATACCCCCAACTCAGGTGATGTACAGGGCCTGCAGGCAGCCTGGGAGGCTCTGCAGACCAGCGGGCGGCCTATCACACCAGGTACCCTGCGCCAGCTGGCCATCACCCACCATGTGCTTTCAGGCAAGTGGCTGATTCACCTGGCACCTGGCTTCAAGCTGGACCATGCCTGGGCTGGCATTGCCCGGGCTGTGGTTGAGGGCCGACTTCAGGTGGCCAAGGTGAGCCCACGGGCCAAGGAGGGTGGGCGCCAGGTCATCTGTGTTTACACAGACGACTTTACGGACCGCTTAGGTGTACTGGAGGCAGATTCGGCCATCCGTGCGGCAGGCATTAAGTGTCTGCTCACCTACAAGCCAGATGTCTACACCTACCTGGGCATCTACCGGGCCAATCGCTGGCATCTCTGCCCTACTCTCTATGAGAGCCGTTTCCAGCTTGGAGGCAATTCGCGTGGCTCTCGGGTGCTGGACCGTGCCAACAATGTGGAACTCACCTAATAAGGCCAAATGGGGGAGACTGTCCTCTATCCCCACCCTGCTGAGGATGGACCCAACTGTCTTCCTCCTCCTCGTCCCAAGGCCAAAACCCCTCAGCTCTGAAGATTAGGTTACTTGGTAACTTCCTGCATCTTCAGTCCCCTGGAACTTTTGCCCTTTGTTCAGGGCTGGCTCCAGCCCCAAAAGATTTGGGGCTTGGCTCCCTGAGGGCCGAGCCCTCAGCCTTCCTCTTTGCTGCTCCCATCACTGCAGAGGATCACAGTTTGGGTGCAGATACTCAAGAAGAGAACCTTCCTTGGCCACTCTCGTCCCCAGCTATACCTTCCCCTCCTCCTGCATTCTTCCCTTCTTTCCTTCCTTCCTCTCAAAGGGGGAAACTTAGTGCTTCCATTCCCTCTCCTTGGAGCCACATAGTCCAGGGGACAGGGGCCCTGCAGGACTGAGCATGCCATTTTGTTGGGAGGTTCATTGTGCCTGCTCATCCCCTGGCAGAAAGGGGATGCAAGGCCGCAACATGGGGCCTGCCCCTCCCTGCCCACTCACAGTCTGCACCATCATCCTCCCTTCTCTGGCTACCTTGACATGTGCCTGTTCCTGGCATTTCAATAAAACCCAGCTTGGGTCTGTGTCTTGAGTGTTTTTTAAAATACTGTTTTGGTGGTTAACTGCTTGGTTGCTGGGAAGAGGCTGGGTCAGGAGAGACTGCCCCCTGAAACCCCACTGCCTGCCCAGTAATCGGATATGCCTCGCTGCCAACAGTGATCTCCCTTCTCCCTCTTTTCTTTTCCTTTTTTTTTTTTTTGCAGTCCTAGAAATTGAAGTACTCTATCATGAAGTACATCCCCAACCCTTTTTGCTTTTTATTTTGAGACAGGTCTCACTAAATTGCTGAGGCTGGCCTTGAACTTGTGATCCTCCTGCTTCAGCCTCCTGAGTCATAAGGATTACAGGTGTATGCCACTGTGTCCAACAGTGGTCTCCTTTTTCTGAGAACTTCTGAAAAGCCAGCCCTGATTCCTTTCATCCAAAAAGTCAGTTTTTCCATAAATCTGGGGTTGACCCAAGAAGTCCCAAGGGACCACTCCTACTCCCCAGGGTGCATTTGTGTACTCTAGAGAAAAGTGTTTTCTTGATCCTGGCAGTCCCAGACTGGGGCCCACCATTTGGTGAACAGAGAGTTCAATCTCTCTTGGCTGGACAGTCTCTCTCAGTGAATAACCTATACAACCATAAGTGGTCTCCTGAGACTTTTCCATGTGTCCTCACCTCTGCTATCTATCACAAGCCACCGGTTCGTGAAGCACTTCCATCTACACAGTTTAACTCTTAGGAACTCTTTAAGGGGACCACCATCCTGTTTTCAAGGAAATTGAGGTCAAGAGGGAAAGGAGTTTTCTCAGGATAATCCATTGAGTGGGCAGAGCTGGGACTTGGGTCCTGTTCTTTGTCTTCTTCAGGCAGAGTGTGGTCCTGGACCTAGAGGAGAAAATTTTGCCTGCCTTCATGCTTCACAACCCACAAAGCACATTTACTCACACGGTCTCATGGGACACCTTGCTCCATTCAGGCTGCTGTAGCTTCTGGAAGCCTGGCTCCTGCATCTTCTGCCTACCCAACTCTGCGCCTGGCCCTGCCTTGGTTGAGGGCCAGGGAATTTGGCAGGGCACCCCTCTGGATGCTGCTCTCGTGCCGAACAGGAGCTGACTCAGCCTCCAGCAGCCTCACCAAGTTGGAATTTGGAGCAAGGGAGCGGAGATGCCACTGGGCTGACTGGGTGGAAGTGGCTGAGTCATGAGATGCTGGCTCAACCCCCTCCCCAGCTTCCTCCCCACCCTGAGCTTCCCCAGGGCTGAGTCCCCCTAGTCCAGGCTTGGGAAATCCCCAGAACTGACCTTGGAATTGGAGCCTGTTGCCCTGCCTATCTCAGACCATCAGTGCTTTGTATTTGATTGAAGTGGGCCAAGGTTTGGACAGGCCATCATGGGTGCCTGTCCAAAGATGCCCAGGTGATATGGGCAGCCCTGTTCTCCCATAACAGTGCGCCACACTCATCCCTGTTCTCCATCCCCCTGTCTCCATGGCCCTGCATTGGCCCATTCCTTACCATCTCTTCCAAACAATGGCAACAGCCACTAGTTTGCCTCCTCTGTCTTCCCACACCTCCAGGTCTATGGACACTGCAGCAGAGCTGGCCATGCGTCTGAACTGCTCAAAGTCCTTCCATGGCTCCCCAAGTCCTGTAAGAGTCCACTCTTCTGGGCTGGCATTGATCTGGCGCTCATCAGCTGCTCCAGCTTCCCTCGGACATCCCTACCTGCCCATGCTCACTCCACCAAAGCCAACTGGCACTTCCTCACCCCTGGGCTTCGAGCCTTCCTTCTACTAGAACACCTGCTTTGTAGCCCTATCATGAGACCTTGTGGTTACTTATGTAATCACCTGATTGATGTCTGTCTCCTACTGTACCCTAAGTCACCAAGATTGTGTGCTGTACAAAGCCAGGAACAGTGTCTAAATTTCAGCCCTGAGTTCACTTCTCCATAAATTATTAAACAAATGAAGAAAGTAATTAACTTGGAACCAGCTCCCTTTGTCCCCTCCCACTGCATCTCTCCCCTACTCCCTTCTCATCCTTGTTCTAGAATCGTGAGCTGCATGTGGTTTTCTTGCACACATTCTGACATTCTAGCCTTTCTCACTTCTGTGTCTTTGCTAGGCATGCTGGTTCCTCACCCACTTTCCTAACTCCACATCTCAGACCCATAGACTCAGGGGTCATCCCTACAAGCCTTCTGCCACCTATCTTCACCCCAACTGTTCTAGCACATTCCTAGGTTCCCAGTATAGCCACCTACCTGTGGTATCCATCTTTTTTTGTTGTTGTTGTTCTAGGGATTGAACCCAGGAGTTTACCACTGAGCTACATCACCAGCCCTTTTAATTTTTCATTTTGAGACAGGGCCTCACTTAAGTTACTGAAGCTGGGCTCAAACTTGTGATCCTCCTGCCACAGCCTCCAAAGTCATTGGGATTGCAGGTGTGTGCCACTGCACCCAGCGTTGTGGCTCCCATCTGCGTGTCCTGGATCCCTTGAGGACAGTGGCAGCAGTTTACCTATCCTCCAGGGTATCCTCAGTACCCAAAATAGCACCCAGCCTAGCAGAGGAGTCAATAAACATTCTTTAATAAATAAACATTCTTGAATAAATGTGTAGTCGAATGAAAGTTATTTTGTGTCTGTAGGCCTCAGTTTCCTCATTCTGTTGACAAGAGCCAAGTACTGGCTAAGTATTTACTTGGATTACCTCACACAAGCTTCATTTGGCTTGGCTATTATGGCCATTTTGCAGAAAAAAATAGGTTCAGAGAAGTTCAGTAATTGACTCAAGGACACAGTAGGTGGCAGAGCCAAGATTTAAACCTGGTCATCTTGCTCCAGAGCACCTGCAACACGATTGAGCCTTCATTGTATGAAAGTGATATTGGGGTGAGTGCTGCAGATATCGATGAGATCCACTAAGGGCTTAGGATCAATTGGTAAAGCACACAGGTTGGGTTCTCAGAGACCTCTGGGAGATAGGCCAAGGCACATGGAGAGTCCCTTTTGATACTGATGAAGAAACTGAGGTTCAGAGAGTGCAGCTATTAGGCAAGAAGGGTGTCCTGGGCCTACAGTGAGGGACTGCTCCCCTGTCAGTTCAAGACTCCCCAAAACCCACCCCTCAGGCTGGCAAGGGACTTGGCTCTATTCGGCCAGGTCCTGTCAATGTGGAGCAGGGAAGTGGCCAGGTTTGTGGTGGTCTGGCTAAACTTGGACAAGCCCCTGTGCTATGCTCCTTTTATAAAATCAAGGGAAGAATGACTGAGGCCAGGAAAAGAAGACCCTCCCCTCCTCCACACTCACACATACAGTCCTCTACCACACACTGCAAACCCCCAGGTCCTGGAGAGGAGGCACCAAAAGAGCTGCTAGTGAGGGGAGACCCTGCTCGACCCCAGGACACAGTGGGCAGAATCAGGAGGACAGGAAACAGGGCCAGAGACACTCAACCAGAGATTTGGCAGGATTTGGGGGATTTTCCCGGTGGGGCAGCTGCACCCCACTCCCAACGACTGGGAGGGGCCCTGGCAGGGATGGGGATTGGCTCACACGGCTGATTCATCTGAGGAGGGAAACTCCCCACTTCTCTGACGTGCATCCCCAGGCAACAGGGTAAGCCTGAGGGCACCTGGCTGAGAAGCCCACCAACCCCATGGTTTTTTGCATCCTGGCCTCCCAGGAAGACATAACAAACCCTAGACTAGACAGAGAGCCAGTCAGGCAGAGTGACAGGCCTTCAGGAATTTTCCCAAGAAAGAAAACCAGAGACTACACAACCAGACTGAGGGCTGGACAGGGCCACCTCAGGCATCCTTTATCGCCCATTTTGTAGTTGGGGAAACTGAGGCTCGGAGAGTAAGAGCAGACCTGCTCTGTGCCAGGCACTAACTCACTTCACTCCTCACAGCCTTCCTTTCACTGATGGGAAACTGAGGACGAAAGATGTTAAGGAATTTGGCCAAGGTCAACATTAGAAATACTCTGGCAGTGGCCATCACTCCCAAGAGTGTTTTCCACAGTTTTGTAGCAAGAGGCTTTGCCCCTGGTCCCTGAGCAGCTGTAGCTCCTGGAGGCAAAGACTTCTCAGAGGCAAAGTCTGAATTGGTTTCTGTGGTCCCAGCTCTGTCCCCAGGGAACCCTAGAGGGTGGACAAGTCCTGCACCAGGCCTTGGCTCTCCCCCCTCAACTAAAGGGAGAAAGCTGGCTCCTACAGAAAAACCAGCCAAACCCTCTGAGGCCAGGAGAGGGCAGAGTCATTCCCGCCAGAATCTCTTCAGGGCTTTGACGTTTTTCCAAACCCCAATCCCTTCCTCCCAAGTCAGAACCTCCCTTTTCTGTCTCACCACCTGTCTCCCCCAGCACACCACACACCACACACACTCCGTGCACACACATGCACGCTGATTATCCAGCCTCTAGGCTCAGCCCGCAGGGAGACTGGGCTGGTCCTGCTTCCCTCTGCCCCAGGGTCAGCGGCTGGCTGGGTGTCAGAGCGGGGCTGAGGGTTGAGCTTCTCTGAGGTGTGGCCAGGAGCCCATGCAGGCGAGCTCTGCCCCATTTGGCTCCTGCTCACATGACTCACCCCCTGGGCCCCCATGACTCAGTTTACACCGGTGCCTGGAGGTCCTCCCAGCTCGGGTGGGGCCATTTACTGACCCAGCCCAGGCCCGCCAGCCTTCCATCCCAGGATGAGGGTTTCATCCCACTTCTGGCCCAGAGCAGGAGCTGGCACCCTCAGGGGACAGCAGGCCTGGCTTCTAAGAGCCTGGGGACAGGAAGTAGGGGCAGTCCTAGGTCTGAGGGTTTAGGATGAGCCCAAGAATGGGTGACAGGCTCCAATTATCCTGGACCTGGGTCTTCACGGAGCAGGAACCACTCTAAGACACTTAAGGGGCCAGGACAAGTGGGCAGGGCCATCCTGAACACCATAGCAGAGGCAGTCACCCTTCTTTCAAGAAAAAGGTTCACATGGCACAAAACATGACAGCAAGCAAATGCTTGAAAACGTTCTTGGCTCCTGTACTG